CAGGTGTCAATCCATATATGCCAAGTGACCCTATGTAGGAGGAACAGTCTCTATTCTGCTCTGTGTCAGTGTGTATCAGGGGCTCTGAGGACAGGTGTCAATCCATATCTGCCAAGTGACCCTATGTAGGAGGAACAGTCCCTATTCTGCTCTGTGTCAGTGTGTATCAGGGATCCCTAGGACAGGTGTCAATCCATATCTGCCAAGTGACCCGATGTAGGGGGAACAGCCCCTATTCTGCTCTGTGTCAGTGTGTATCAGGGGCTCTGAGGACAGGTGTCAATCCATATCTGCCAAGTGACCCTATGTAGGGGGAACAGTCTCTATTCTGCTCTGTGTCATGTGTATCATGGTCTCTGAGGACAGGTGTCAATCCATATCTGCCAAGTGACCCTATGTAGGGGGGAACAGTCTCTATTCTGCTCTGTGTCAGTGTGTATCAGGGGCTCTGAGGACAGGTGTCAATCCATATCTGCCAAGTGACCCTATGTAGGGGGAACAGTCTCTATTCTGCTCTGTGTCAGTGTGTATCATGGTTCCTGAGGACAGGTGTCAATCCATATCTGCCAAGTGACCCTATGTAGGGGGAACAGTCTCTATTCTGCTCTGTGTCAGTGTGTATCAGGGATCCTTAGGACAGGTGTCAATCCATATCTGCCAAGTGACCCTATGTAGGGGGAACAGTCTCTATTCTGCTCTGTGTCCGTGTGTATCAGGGGCTCTGAGGACAGGTGTCAATCCATATGTCAAGGTGTCAATATGTCATATGTCAGGTGTCAATCCATATTCATTGTGATTTAGGAATGTTAGGTGATTTCTGCCCTTTATGGATTAAAACCAGACTCTGTATCAACTGTGTAATTTTCCATGGGAGTTTTGCCATGGATCCCCCTCCAGCATGCCACAGTCCAGGTGTTAGTCCCCTTGAAACAACTTTTCCATCACTATTGTGGCCAGAAAGAGTCCCTGTGTGTTTTAAAATTCGCCTGCCCATTGAAGTCTATGGCGGTCCGCCCGGTTCGCCGGTTCGCAAACATTTGCGGAAGTTCGCGTTCGCCGTTCGCGAACCGAAAATTTTGGGTTCGCGACATCACTATAAAGGAGTTTAAGCATGCGTGTGATAGGCATAAGGCTATCCTAACTATAAGATAAGGCTAGGGACTAATGAAAGTATTTAGAAAATTGGGCAGACTAGATGGGCCGAATGGTTCTTATCTGCCGTCACATTCTATGTTTCTATGTTTCTTAAGCCCCAGGGCCCTGTGTGCCTGATCTAGTAGCACTGGGGAGTCAGGTGGCCTGTCCAGGATGAGATTACAGAGTTCTTTCAGCACCGTGATAGGTCATCATCCCCTTCCTTCTCACCATCACCCCCCTCCCTCTAACCATCACCCTCTCTTTCATGATCACCCCCACTCACCATCACCCCCTCCCTCTCATCATCACCCTCCTCCCTCACACCATCACTGTAACACTATACAAACACACACTGCATTCAATATACAAACACACTACATACACTATACAAACACACACTTATACATGATTCACATGTGTGTTGGTATATGTGTATCTGTATGTGTCAGTGTGTGTATGTGTATCTGTATGTGTGTATCTGTTTGTTTGTATGTGTTTGTATCAGTGTGTCTGTATCGTTATGTGTCTGTGCCTGTGTGTCTCTCTTTCTGTGTCTGTATGTGTGTGTGTTTGACCACAAAGGAATTACATGAGGTATTTAGTCCCCCCTCCCTCCATCAACCCCCTCCCTCTCACCGTCATCCCTCTTGCTCTCACCATCATCAGCCTCCCTCACACCATCACCCCCCTCCCTCTCACCATCACCCACCTCTCTCACACGATCACTCCATCATCACTCCCCTCCCTCTCATCATCACCCCGTTCTCATCATCATCCCCCTCCCTCACACCATCACCCCCTCAAACCATCACCCCCGCCCCCTCACACCATCACCCCCTCCCTCACAGTGTTACTCCTCCTCCCTCACACTATGTCCCCCCTCTCACCTCCCCCCATCCCTCACAACATCACCCCTCCCTCACACCATTATCCACTATACAAACACACACACTGCATCCACTACACAAAGACACTGCATTCACTATACAAACACAAAACATACACTATGCAAACACACACAGACACACACTTATACATGTGTGTCTGTGTATCTGTATATCTATGTATCTGTATGTGTGTTGGTATATGTGTATCTGTATGTGTCAGGGTGTGTATGTGTATCTGTTTGTGTGTGTGTGTCTCTCTCTCTCTGTATCTGTATGTGTGTGTGTTTGTATCTATATGTGTGGTTGTATCTAATACAAACACTGCTCAGTGCTCAATACATGTAAAAAAATGTGGAGTTGGGTGAATATGACAACCCTGTCGTCCTGTAGTGAGCCCACCCAGTCCCCCATGTGGCGGATATCTACTCCAATAGCATCTAGTTTGATCTGAAAAGAGACCTCCAGCCTCCACAGCATATTGGCCAGATCCTGTTTAGAGGGCATATTTCACAGCAGCTATCTTACCTCCATATCAGGCCTTTGGCTACTATCTGATTCCGCTGGGTTGAAGTTCCCTGGGATGTAGTGGATCTCTTGGGGTATCCCATGCTTCAATTTGGAGCTATATTGCTTAGAATTCCACACATTGGCTCAGAGAGTTCAGCTATGCTGCGGCCATTCAGGTCGGTGGTTAGCCATGGGTCAGCCATTTTATCTGCCAGGGGATATAGCAAGGAATAGTATAGACATGTTTTACCATTGGCTGGGCTAAAGAAAAAGTCTTTAGAGAAGTAAAACAAACCTGAGAACTGGTGGATTATAGGTTTTTTTTTTTTTTTGTTTGTTTTTTTTAAAGAATTGGTCTAGGATTCCAGAAAAACTGGCAAAACAAAGAAGATAATCAAGGTCAAGGATTACAGCTAAGGGGAAAGTCAAGAAAGCCATATCAAGAAACAAAAATAATCAATTACTCAATAATGCACTCTTGGATAAGGGAAAAAATGACAGAGCATGGAATTAACTGAACTGGGTTTTACAGCCAAAGGTCGAAGCCCATAGGGTAGAACGTGCGAGTGTATAAACACCCTAACAACCTTAAGATGTCCATCTCTTGGAATTGAAGAGGATGTTAAAGGGCAGCATCTAGCACTGGAAATGTCAAAATGGCTCATTGCATCAAAGAGATTTGATGCAGGTACTGTGACAATATGAAAATAGATAAAGATGATGTATTATCCTGTATCATATTATCTGAGCCACAATCCGTCTTGCTAATTTCCTCTGGAGGTAATAAGTTGATCACTGGAAGGGTAGTAAAGTGTCACAGGAAAGCGTCATTGATTTTTCTAGCACCTCTACTGAAAACTGGAATAATGGACAGGCTGCCCAAAACTAACTGTGAGGATTGTTAGGAAGTAGAGGCTATATCAGCTATTTTCACTCATTAAAAGCATAACCTCCAATCTCATTGTGTTTCTTGAGTTATCACAAACCTTACATACCACTAAAACTGGCCCTTATATTTCTCTCTATAAATCCTCTCTATTGACAGAAAGGGAGAATCAGCCACACAATGGGGTGACAGGAAGAGCCACACAAATTTAAATAACAAAAAGAGCCACATAAAGGGGGGTGGCAGAAAAAGACTTAGGAAAGGGACGGCAAAAAAAGCTATATTTTAATTAAATTAAAAATAGTGAGAAAAAATGATGGGCTGGTGAGCATGACACCAAGGTTTTACAAAGGGGATCCAAAGGCTAAGTCTGGCCCTCTGTAATGATACTATTTAGTGTACTATTTTAAAGAGATTAAAATTTTTAATGTATACACTTTCTCTAGCACTTAAAGCAACAATTTAGTAGATATCCCCCAATGAAAAGCATTTTTTTTTCATTGGGTAGTATCTAAAAGAGTGCAAAAGCTGCAAAGCTCTTGTCCCTTTGCAAAACCTCCCCTACTTCTCTAGCTCAGACTTTCTGTCACTGTCCAATTACTGACTTCCCAAAGCAGCTCAATGAGAAGTCTTTGCAAGACCAGTGCTCTAAACAATTGTTTGCCTAATCTAAAATTTAACTGGTAGTAAGAGGACTGGTTGTCAGATGTAAGAAAGTTAACTTATAAATATTGCAATTTCATTTGAAATTTGCACATTTTGAAAATGTTTAAAAAAAAAACATCTGCTGGCAGTTGCAATATAAGGTTTTGTGGGCACCTGATATATGAGGTTCTGCAGGTCTATGGTTGAAACTATCAGGATTACAAAAGTTAAACATTATTAACACTTTTAATGCAAACAATGTTGATATAAAATTAGTTGCACTATGCTGATATATAATCCAAAGCAAAAATAGGTGCGCTGTACCTTTAAATATTAGAAAGTGCAATATATACATTATATATGCTGATATATACATTAACCCCTTGGAATTAGGTGGGTTTTGTGTTGTTGCCTGGTCCGTCTCACTACTGATGACGGCATGCTCTTTCCAGTGAGGGCAATCTCACTTATACCCCAACCCTTTGAAACCTCCTGGTGGGTAATTACTGGTACTCTCACTCTAGATTGAAAAACAATTATTGGTATGAGGCTTTTTGATCCACATGGGGGTGTTATTAATCTGCTGTGATGCTCTCAATAACAGTCCCATGATTGCGACTACACTAAGAAAAAGAAGGGCTACACTAAGAAAAATTAACGGAACACTATACAACTTTAGATTAAGTGATTTTGAATCTTCTATAGTCATACTGCGCAATTCTCTGCCATTTATAAATTAAAACTATATTTATTCTGCCCTAACCACATCACCCCTGGCTGACCAAGAGCCTACAGTTTTTTGTTCTCATATTGCACAGTGTGTTTAATCTATCAATTCTTGTTTCTTGCTCTGTTAATCTCCTTCTAGAGCCTCAAGTGTATGATTAAAGTGAGCCTTTTATCTCCTTTGCCTTCGCATCTCATTAGAGTTGTGGGTTTTACCTTACTATAGCACATGCCTCCTGTCTGCCCGTGCTCCTCATCTGCTTTTCACAGACTTGCCCAGGGCAAGTCGGTGAAAAGCAGATGAGGAGCACAGGCAGACAGGAGGCATACTTCCACAAACTGGACATACCTCCTCAGTGACTATCAGGAAATCTACCTCTGGTGGGACTTAAACCCTGGTTCCCTGTTGATACTGCTGCGCACTGCATGATGTGCTACTGTGAAACCTGATATCTTGGGTCGATTCCAGATAGTTATGTTTTATTTCTTAACCGCTTGATTTTCTGATTGCTTGTTTTTGTGGGTCACAAGTGGATATCACAGGTGCTACCTTTCTGACTTGATTGCTGCTAGCAAGCAATAGGCATCAGGTACACCGCCTCCCTAAATTAGGAGGGCTTTCTAGCTGCTATGGATGCTTTTGTGGTTCTAGAATACTAGTGATATTTTTGTCCTGATCTTGTTTCTTTGTTTTTGACCTGGCTTATCCTTTGATGGTTCTTGATCTCCTGAATGTGTGTGTCAGACCTGCTTTGTATGATTAGCCTGTTCGTGTACCAGACCCGGATTGTTTATCTACCTGTTCCAGTCTGTTATCCTCACTTTAGCCTGTTTGACTAAGTTTGTTCCTGTAATAGTAATTAGTGTAGGTTGCGCTCAAATGCAGGGGTTCATTGCTAAATACAGATACATTCTATCAAGTGCTAAATGGAAATTCCTATTCCCTATTTAGGATAGCAAATAGACCATCAAACCATAGCATACCAATTATGTAAAAATATTTATTGTTACAAAAAATAGCAGTAGTTTAGCACTATTAAAGTGCATAGCATAAATGTGATATCATATAGAGCAATGACATGTTCAAATATACAAAATAGGTGCATGTACAAACAAAGCAAACTGAGGATAAACCTTAAACCCACCAATATTACCTTAGGTACTGTGAAGGGATAACCCCATCACGATTCGGCTAATTGTACTCCCTTCTATCAGTCTTCCCCAGTCATTCGTTATTTTTGTTGTTCCATTCATTAATTTGTTCGGTTCCCGAACCGAGACCACCCCAGAGACTAATTAGAACTAAGAACACCATGTATCTATACGAAAACCGCAGACTAATTGAATGCTCCTAGGTGGCTGCCATTTCGTGCATACGAATACACATGGTGAGAACAATGGGTGGCAGCCATCTTGTCTCCCGAACGCTGCCTGCGGGACTTGGTCGTCGAGTGCCTGGAACTGTTTTCGGGAACGCAATCACACGAACCCCGCAACTTTCCCAGCAACTCAGACGATCGGCGTTCGGGAGTTTCAAACTACCGAACACAAGGAGCATTCATCACGAACCAAATAGATTTTACCTATTGCGGTTTTCGTATAAAACCTCACGAACAGAGACCGGCTCTTGCTACATTTCCTCTGGAACTGTTTCCCGGCTTCAACCTTGTGGCAGACCGGTCAACTCTCTCTGCGGTGCCGTTCGGTAACTACCAAACGAATTTGGCTGAATTTTTAAAATGTTGCTCCCACAGAGACAAGCTACACAGGGATGTGATTTGGGGGATTTGTATGTGGTTTTGGGGGTTTTCAAGAAATTTTGAAAAATTTAACTTTTTCTGACCAAAAGATAATTGAGTTTAGTATGTTCTCTAAACTCAATTATCTCGCTGGCTCAGAGGAGGAGTTATGCACTGTATAAATTGAATGCCTGTGTTCTCATTAAACCAGTCTTGTCCCAGCATTAAGCTTTGGCTCATGTGTGGGTTATTATGCGACACCAGCAATATTGGAACCTGTGGATTATTGGCGTATTATTTTATGAGAAAAGGGTATGCAAGATGGTGATACCTATCCAGACCGTCACAACTGGTTGTGACATCACTTTTTCCTGAATTAAGAATCAAAGGTGGGCACTGGTGTACAGTGAATGGAAGGCTGGTATACACAGCTGAAGCGCAGCACGTTGAAGGAACTATTAGGAGTTTGTGGAGGTACTGCCAGCAACAAAGCCGGGTCATAATCAGTGAACTGATGGAGCTAGACCGAGAGAACTTGGCTGCAGCAACCCCAACCGTTCGGGAAAATGAAACGGAGATTAACAGGGAGATCAGGGAATGACTGGCACTGTTCAGGCCAAACCCATCTCCCGAAATCATCATGCAGGTGATTAACAATGGAACTGAAAATGCAAACGCGAGATAGCGAGAGCTACAACTACGTTTACGGAGTCAGCAACACAGTTGAATCGCAGAAGATTCCCTTCAGCTCATTTAAAGGTTTTGACGAAATGGAAAGCAAAATTGATGGCTATCTGGCAGATTTTGAACGCCAGTGTGCCCTACACAAAGTGGCTGCAGATAAATGCGTCCCTATACTAGCAGGAAAGCTATCGGGCAAAGCAGCAGATGCCCTTAGGGTTGTTCCAAACCACAAAATCCACAGTTATGATCGGCTAAAAGAGGCGCTCTTGGCCAGGTACACAGCAACCTCTGAGGCATACCACAGAAAGTTTAGAGATTCCTGCAAAGTGGACAAAGATTCTTACATGGAGTGGACCTGCCGATTGCAGCTGTTAGCATCTAACTGGATTACAAGTTGCCAAGCGACCACTGTAGATGACATCCTGCAGCTCATTCTATTAGAACAATTTTATAATAACATACAAACGGACGTTAAAGAGTGGGACTTGCAAGCCATAGGTGAAACGCATAAAATATCTGTGCAATGAAAACTGTAAGTGACATCACAAAATCGTCAAACCCCTTGAAATGTGATTTCTTACAGCTGGAACAAGTAATCAACGCCCAAAGAGAACACCAATGAAGAGACCAGGCACCCATATAAAAGAATGGACTCAGGGGGACAGATTATATTGTTTATTCTTGTAATTGTTATTGCTGTTACAAATTTTTATACCAGGAGGTCTCTGAGGAAGTCCTTTGTGGACAAAACGCGTAGGACCTGGTACTATAAGAGCTTTTGCTTTTATATTTATTTTTATATTTATTTTAATAAAGAAGAATTTTTTTTACTCCACAATCCTGAGTCCAATTCTGTCATCTTAGGAACTGAAGGAGTGGTTTTACCCCCATCTACATCAGGGGAGGCACCCTAGGCGATTTTCTTTCATCCTTCTCGTGAGTGATATTCTACATAGCGCATTTACACTCATTTAACAGTGTTACACTATTATTTGCTTTTTTATTCATATTGTAGATCTGCAGCTGTATGCTCCTGTGTTTGTATGCATAAAAAATGTATTGTTGTCTGGCTGTATTGCAATATGAAACTGATGGTAGGTAAGCAGTGGTCTACTTCATCCTTGAAGATAAGAAGTAAATCCACGGGGCCTTGCCATAGAAAGAATATGTCATCTATAAAATGTAACCATAAAGAAACAATTTTAAACAAGGGATGTCTGTAAACAAACTGTTCCTAAAATTGTTCCATAAACAGTTTCACGTATGAGGGGCAATACTTGACCCCATCGCAATGCCCCATAGTTGTTTATAAACGTCTTTTTGTACACTATAAATAGTTCTCATGTAAGGCTACCTTTAACAGGTTAATGGCAAATTTACATTGAATATTGTTCGTAGTTGATTGTGCAAGGTAATGACTGATTGCTTGTACACTCCCATCATGAGGGATGTAGGTGTACAAACTACAATTGTCCATAAAAATTAATATTGATCTATCTCCTTGTAATTTGGTCAAAAAAATCATTGGTGCCTCTCAGGTATGATCAAGTCTTAAGAACCAGAGATGGAATATATTGATCCAAGAATATGGATAACAGTTGCAAGACTGAGTTTGTACTGCTTGGGGGATTGTTCATGTCCTTATGTATTTTAGGTAATACATAGAATAATCCTCAAATATTTGGGCACTGTAGGCCATTTTGCTGGGATGTACTGATTAAGTCATTAATTCTCGTAGAGATGTTTTCAAAAGGGTTAATAGTCAATTTCAAATACGTGTGCTCATGTTTAAATTGTGTTAATATTTCCAGTTCATATTTGGCCCTGCCCATAGCTACCAAAGCATCTCTCTTATCAGCTGATTTGATCATAATGGACCAGTTTTCTTGAAGAGAACTCAAAGCAAATTGTTCTTCTCTAATAAATGGCACTGTACAATGTACTGTACAATGGCTTGACCAATTTAATTTACCTATATCCAGTTCTACAAGCTTGACAAATGCAATATTTGTTTGGGTTGGTATAAATTTACTCACCGGTTTACTCTTGGTCGGGTGCAAGAATATTTTTGGGTGCCCACTATCTCAAGGAAGGCCAAATGGTAGATCCCCATCTGTTGTACAACTCCCACAATGCTTTGACAGCTGGACATCTACCATTTCCCCATCCTTGTAGGCTTACTTTTAGCACTTTACAGTGTTTGTGTGTTTGAATGTACGGATGATTTTGTATATATGTGTGTGTGAATGCAGGTGTGTATTTGTGAGGAGTGTTGTGTATTTTTATGTATGTAGCGGAGATACAATATTCCACAGATTATCTCCGCTTAAGATCCCAGTGAGGCTCAGTAACAAGTAATTATAAATCCACAGGCAAGGTTTCCAGCAGGTAAAATAATCCAACAGTATCCCAACAGCAATCCCAATAACTGGACGACACACAGCATCAGGAGCAGAACTGAAAACCTTTATTCCACAGTGGCCTTATATAGCATGCTCCCATGCAAGGGAGGGACTTTCATCAATTAGTACATTACCCAATCTGACAATAGTAACCTCCCACCTATCTCCTCCCCTCAGCCTGATTTATACTGTACACAAATTCCCCCAGTTTCTGGATGTACCCCTAAACCTAGGGGTACCCCTTTAAATGGCACATCCCCTGGTAGCCCTGATCTGGGTGAGCAACATATCCAAAAATCACCCAGATCGGACCAGGGGTTCGGGAAATTTATGGAAGTACTAAAAAGACCGACCGCGCTGGAGAGAACAGCCAAATTGGGTTCCATGCGATGGGGCCCTGCGGTCGGTCCCAGTATAAGGGAATAAATTACACGAAAGGCTAAGGCTACAGAGATCAGGTAGGGTTCGCATGAATCCCCTCGTTCGGTTGTTTCTGTCTACCGAACGAGGG